TCAAAAGTTTGAGAATTACTTTGATTTCTGGTAATTTTTGGTTGAAGGTTTCTTCTCTAAAAAGCATCGTATATACTTACAAGTATGGAATCCTATGCCCCTTTTTGTCTATTCTCTTTCTAACAACGGATGTGCCTGCAAAACTGAAAAGCTTGATGGCGGCAGTGTTTGACAGGCACGTTCGACGATGCGAACGGCATGGGAAGGAAAGAAATGGAAGATGGATGACACGACAAAGAAATAATTATGAAATAGCAGAATGTCGAAGCAAAAACGAATTTGAAAAATGTGACTATGCGAATGACGTTAAAATAGAAGAAATGTAAAATAGCGAAATGTCGAAACAGAAGAAATAGATGACAGGCACGTATACGGCACGGGTTTCGTGCAACAAGAAGTGTTGCTGTGTTGCGCCATTGAATATTTAAAAACTTTTTAATGTGGTTAAATTTACTCATACGCTTTTTTACTTAGTCGACAAAACTACATATTTCCAGCCAGCCAAGATTCATTTATAAAAACGGTATATGCTAATGGCCTTATTTATAAAAAATAAAATAGATTTATATAGCTCTGTACAGTGACATTTTTATAAAAAATTCGATTTCTTAATTTTTGATGAATTTGGGTAAACTATTAACCATCGTACAGTTCCATAAGTAAAGTAACTCTTCTTCTTACCGTTTTTTCTGGCAGGCTGTAGGTGTGTTTTTGGCAGGCTGTAGGTGTGTTTTTGGTTATTGTATTGGTGTTTTTGGTTCAGTGTGTTAGTGTATTTTGAATAAATTGTAATAGAAATAAATGAAATTGTAATAGAAATGAAAGAAATTGTAAAAGATAAGAGCACATGCCAAAAAACAGGTGATCTCAGCTGTAGGCATATTTTGGCAATCAGCTGATAGTGTTTTTACTTATGAAACTGTACGATGCTATTAACTTTGTGTGCACTCCGTTCCTGTTTCTTACTTTTCAAAATTTTATTTTCTTTAATAGCCCTTTGACTGAGTTACACCCAGCAAAAATCAAAATATTTTATAAGAAATGTATTGACCTTTTTACAACGGCATTTAAGGCCTTCTTCTCACACTTCAGTGATGCTTTTTTATTGTAGGTATTATTCTGTTAACATCTAAATTTTTATACATTTAATTACATTACCCATACATTGTTTTCCGGCGTTTCCTCTGTGAACTTTTTTTACTATATTCATAAAAAAATTACTAATTTAGGTTTCATTTCTCATCTTGGACTGATACATATGTATGTATGTAAAAGGAATTTAAAAACATTATTAGGGTACTCACAGTTTACTTCTAAAGTTAAAAGGTGGCAACTTTAACAAGATAACACACTCGAACTGTGAGCAACCCTTATGTTTAAATAAAGTATTAAGTTGATCAACAATACCACGCATTGCTAGACCGTTTGCCTTTCACGCGTTTGTGTTTAGAGAGCATCAACAAACCACATACATATTTCTCTCTATTCTCTCTTCTCTTTTTTATACTCAGCTAGCACAGCGCAAAAATAAAAAAAAAAATAACCTTTGCCAGCTCCAGGCAGGCGCAAAGAGAAACTTATGTACAAGCAGCGCTGCGCCCAAAGCGAAATTCATGTATGTATGTACAAGCAGCGATAGATGCCAGTTTAACACAGAACATAAACATGAGACAAAGTCTAGTAATTTTGCCCAAAAGTGTTATCTCTAATTAGTATGGGAACCAACAACAAACAAAGTTACCACATGGTAAAATGTTTTAAAGTTACCAGGTGGCAAAATTAACACAGTAGATAATATAGAACTGTGAGTACCCTATATGTGCCCAATATGAACGATGCAGCGAGCAAAGGTGGCACCGTCAGACATACTGCTACTTTGAGTTTGTCGATTTTGATAATTCTGATATAAAGTAAACGACGCATCAGAAACTTTAAATGAACCGAAATTCACTTATACTTCCACTAAAATTACGGTTTTTTTTACATTTTCCTTATTAATTGTCATTGTTGTCATTGTAAATCATATATTTTTAGAATTTAGCACAATTAAAACCCGTTTACTATCCAAAAATTTATTATTGAGAAAATTGGCTGCTCTGACATTTTCTTTTAACATGCAATTCGACTTTTTTACAGAAATATCATCGCCACTAGGACGGCGTAATCTTGTATTCTTTCTTGTCAAACATGCATTTTGATGTAACTGCTATTAAGTTTTAAATACTCATTAAAATCGTTTCAATTCGTAATAAAAATACATTACATACTTAATATAAACTAGCATTTTTAATTCTAAAATAAATCAATAATCACAAGTATTATAAATATTTCTCTTCAAAAGATACGTTTCAAAACATCCCTGTTGATGTCATAATTCAAATATAAATTTGAATAGAAATTTTGATGTAAACGATTTTCCGCGATATTCATCATACAAATTTCTTTATTCTTAATTTTCTTACACGCAAATTTACTCATTACTTTAAGTGGCTTTAATCTTTTTATTTTAGTAAAAAATAATATAAACATGTTGCTCTTTCCAGCTGCAATAGCTTCAATACACGAACAAAATTGTGAATACCCAGTGCCCAGCTTAGAATAAGAAAAGTACCATTTTGCCTCCCACATGTTTCCGTCTGGCCTCCTGATGATCCATAATGCCTCCGGAGGCAGTCAACACAACGTAACCAAATTGAAGGGAAGGCAGCAAGTTGTTGGTCCACTTCCAACCAATCCAACCAATTTATGCGATTTAATGGGCCCCATGCATAAAAAATGAGTCTAAGCTCAGACTAAATTTTTGCACTGAAGGGGTGAGCTCAAGCTCAAGAATTTGTACTGAAAATCGAGTTGGAGCTTAAACTCACTGTTTATGCATGAGGCCCAATATCTTTACTGCTTCCTTGTGGTGCGTCATTTGATGTTCCCCAATCTTAACTTTACCAAAAGTGTCCGCGCCGAGCATGAATCATGCGTGCCGAGTGTTGCGCCCAGTAATTACATAGCGGCATATTTTTACGAGTGAATGTGGGCCACTGCCAGTAGCTGCAGCTGCGGCGGCACGTGATTGTGGCATAATGTTGATGTACAATTAGAATTGGATATCTAGAACTGCGTAAGTTTGAAGCATAAAATAAAAAAAGGTTTGGTAAGGTTTTTCGGGCCGCTGCTTAGGCCACAATCGCAAATGCACCCACACGAGCGTATGTGCTGCGTAGAGACGTAAATTATAGTTTTTCCTGAGCTCCAGTTTCTTATCGCACTATTATTTTCCTTATGACTTATAATTCTCTGCCACGATTTGCGCTGCTCGGGCCACGTCTGCTTGTACAAGAAAATAACGCATTTGTTCAAACGACCGGTCAAGTTTACTACAATTTTGCCGAAACGATGTACATCTCACTTGTCCGTAAATGCAAATCTACCTAACTTTTCCAACGGCAGGAACGAATATGATGTTCTAAACAGAAACAATGACAACGAGTTTCACACTCGTTGTTGTATTTTAGCGGAAAACTTATAATAAGTTTTACAAATATTTCAAATTATTGCCTGGAACATGCACATTTATCGTTCATATTGGAAATGCAAGACCTGGCATGTATGTATTTTATATTTCTTATTGAATCAATTCAAAAGAATATGAACACATTTTTCTAGAAAATTTCGCAATTTACATTTCAAAGTTTTTTCTGAAACTTGGATGCAACTCTGTGCTGAGAATGGGAGACTTACAAATTAGGTGATCTCAGCTTTTTTCAAATGTAAACAAATAAAATGGCGCTTTCCATACTTTTAAGCCTATACAATGCTAAAAAGTTCTCTCTAACAGTATTAATGAATAGACAGTTGACAATGCCTATAAGAAACATTTTCTTACTTTGAAACTACAGTAGAAGCATTTAGTCGTACAGTGACTTTGGTTTCAGTTATTTAATGTTAATTTATAAAAATTTTACTGCCAAACACGCTTCGTCTATTTGGAAAAATAATTAAAAATAATCATATAATTAGCATTAATCACATAATTGAAGATAATCAAATAACTAAAAACAGTCAAATAATTAAAAACAATCAAAAAATAATCAAACAATTACATATAATCAAATAATTAAAAACACAATTTGATTAATTTTGATTACTTCTTTTTTTAATGGAAATTAATCGTGATTATTTTTTATAATTGTTAATTATAATTAATTATTAATGGCTGGGTTAGGTAAGAACTTTAAAATAATCATTAAAATTAAAAAATGCAAAAAATATATGATTACTAATCGTAATGGAAATTTAACAGCCCTGGGCCAAATATAGTACAACTGCGGTTTTAGTTTTAGGATTCTTTAAACGACTTTTTAAGTTCAAAGATATGACTAATTCCAAAAACTATTTTAAAATTTCAGTGCAATGTAGAATAAAAATTAAATTTTGTTGGGTTCGCAAGGACGAATAGGTATAGAAAATGCCAATCTACTCAATTAAATTTTTTTAAGCTAATAACGTTAGAAGGACGATATTCGCGGATGTTGTCGAGTTTATATTAGTCCTTAGGATACAATTTTTTTACAAAAAAATATTGCAAAATTTCAAGGATATTCAAGGATAAAGTTTTAAAAACACATTTGCAATACCTAAATGTCCACCAAAAAAATTTTAAAAATTGTGACGTCAGAGAGAAAACCTAAAAAAGCAATTTTACTATATCTCGCCCATGGTTTCGCGAATATATTACTTTTTTAATATGTTATACGATGTGCGATGTTATATGTATAATGGGCTAGACATTTATAAAAAATATTAATATTAAGTAAACAAAGATAATATGGCCAAAACTGGTCAACATAAGGCGTTTCTATTATTGTCACCATTGTTAGCATTGCTTCTTCATTTAAAAGATTTAGTTTTGAATATCTGTAATTCTGCATCAGAAACTAAATTTCGAAAAAGGGTACCAAACACCTTTAAATCCCTAGGTAAGAATATGGTAGATAAGTAATTACCTGGTGAGTTAAAAATAAAGCCAATTGCATGATTATATTACGCGAAGACAGGCGACCCCCTATATTTTTTCCACAATCAACTTTAACGGGCCCCAAAGGATAGTTTGATGACAGCGTAATTGTAAGCTCCGTTCGAACGTCATCTACAAAATATACTGCTAATACTTCCCTTGTTGACAAATGTACTGTGACCTACAAATTTCAAATTAAATAGTGTATAAGTTATAAAAACCATATTATGAAGTATGGCAAAAAAAGGAGTAATGCTTACTTGCATATTTTCATGCTTTTCCTTATTCGTATAAATAGATTTTAACTCTTCATCGCAAATTAAAGGTGAAACAAAGTTGGTTGTAAGTTTATCCAAGAACGATTTTTTTCGAGATGGTAAAATATTCCACCACTTACGAACAACTGCAGGTAGTTTTTTCAAAACTTCTGTATATAAATGGCAAGCATACCTTCCAAGAGTTAAGTTGTCATCTAAAAAATCAACCAAATGTCAGCAAAATTAAAAACATTTATTTCAATTAAGTTTGATATCTAAGAAATAAAAAATGTATTCAACATTCAATAAAATTCCAAGTGTAATTGAAATTCAACATGAACCAGCTAAACAATTGACCGTCTCCAAGGAATTAGAGGCCGCCAAAGGTTTGCTGAATCAACGGAAAACGCAATGCACATCACTAGAGCTGCAATATAAAAGGTCAAAGCGCACATCACTTTTATACGGATACAAATTTTTTAGTATTTGCCCGCAGTATAATCCACAATATATATGTAGACATACAGGTAACGTAATAATTGATCGCGATGTGCTTACTAAGGAAGAACACATTTGCTACTTATCCACTCCGCGTGTAAACCTTGCCGCTCTACGCAAAAGGCCTAGATATTTTCAGAAAAGAGTTGTTGTGCCAAACTGCACGACGCGCGTAGAGCAATTAGCGTTGCCGGACTTGAAACGAGTTCGTTGGACTTTAGAAATATATAAAAGTACACTTACAAAACGTCAGATAAAATCATTAAAACATCATTTGCATCAAGGATCAAAGGTGATGTCTTATAATATAAATACCGCACTTTCTTACATTGAAGAAGAAAGGCGTTTAAATAGAGTCGCCAAGTTATTGCGAAGGCGACAATGTCGCAAGTTGAAAAGACACGTTCTTCGAAAGCAGCAACGGCAAATAAGAAAAATTATTTGTGTACTTTTCGAGGAAATGAGAAATTTTTTACTTAACGATCAGTTTTTAAAAGATGAACGCTCCACACTTCGCGGAGTAATCATGGAACAAATTCGAAATTTTACTAGTAAGTGCAAGTTGCTGTAGTTACGTTTAAATTTTTGAAAAAATTTGTTTATTTGATTCTAATAATATGTTTCGAATTGTAGATAACGAGTTTTATACCACAAGTAATCTGCGGGAATATCAGCAAATTCTTGCAAATAATCTAACAGTTTGGATTAATAAGTTTATATGTAACCTTAATATACATTTAGCACCGCCTCCAGTTCTAATACATAACATAGAACCAGAAACTTACTTGCCGGCTAAAGGTTATATATCATGTTCGGAAACGATTGACAAAGAAGAATACGAAATTGAACAATGTAACTACTATGCTGATGGAGAGGATGAAGAAGATAATGATTACGTATATTACACTGAGGATACAATAACGAATACAAACCGTTAATTTGAGCCAGTGAGAGGCTGTTGAAAATTTCACATGTTAAAAATTTTCTGTCGTAATTTTTTAAAATTTCTGTCGGCATCGCGCGTATAAGAAAATGTAAGAATTTCTGAAACGATATAATTGATAAATTAAAGTAAAGAAATGTGTTATCACGTATGTATGCTATCGATCAAATAAAGCAAATACATATATACAAGTATTTACGCCTGAAACCAGGCATGGATTCATTAGGGGTATTTTTAACTACATAATAATATGTGTTTTTTTAAGTAAAAAATAGTTCTCAATCAATTTTTTTAGGTTGATTTATTTGTTGCTGAAAATTGTTATATATTCTAATATATGAATGTCATCAATAAAAATAAATCTCAACGTGCTAGAAAAAACAGGTCTGCGCTTTATTTTAACGAAAATTACTAAACGTTGCAATTCTTTAAATAGTATTTATAATGGTGATTCTAAATATACATAATTACTTTTTAATATATTTTCCAAATTATAGGTGCATAGAAAAAGTTTGTTCTCAATGTCTTCATATTTAAGAATCGAATAAAGATAGTGTATCTGAATGAAAAGTAGTAGAACGTTGAATGACTCTGCCACAATCGCCACCAACAACTAGAGCTGGAAAACTATCGATGGCACTATCGATGGTTTTGTATGCACTATCGATAGTTTTCACTCATACATTCATTATCCAGAAAGAGTTAAAGCCGGCGGTACCTGCTTCACTTGTAAATCGGAAGGGATATTTCGCAAAGCAGGGCAAATAATTTCAGAGCGACGATGCTGCTTGAAGCCAAAACCCGTTGATAAACTTTTGTCCCTTAACAAAAATGTGGCCATATTTTCAATAAAAGCTGTTATACTTAATTTTTGGACTTTTTTAAATCAAAACTTACGATAGTGTCGACATTTTCGATAGTATCGATACTATCGATGGTTGTACCATCGACTATCGAAACTATCGATGGCCACGATCATCGATAGTTTTCCAGCTNACGTTGATAAACTTTTGTCCCTTAACAAAAATGTGGCCATATTTTCAATAAAAGCTGTTATACTTAATTTTTGGACTTTTTTAAATCAAAACTATCGATAGTGTCGACATTTTCGATAGTATCGATACTATCGATGGTTGTACTATCGACTATCGAAACTATCGATGGCCACGATCATCGATAGTTTTCCAGCTCTACCAACAACTGTCGCTCCAAGTACGAGAGCCTTAACATAAGTTTTAATTTTAGACCAAATATTCTTAATTGGATTTCAACATTGGCGAATATGGTCCAAGACGTAGGAGCATTGCTTTGTCTTTTACGTTGTCTGTAAGTTAAAGTAGTTGATTGCATCACAATATGTAGTAAGTTTTACGGTTTCTGAAGTACAATTGACTATTCTCAAGTACATTTTACGGTTTTGGAGTACAATTTACAAATCTAAGGTACACTTTATGGTTTATGAAATACAATTGACTAATCTGAATTACATTTTTCGGTTTCTGTAGTACAATTTATAAATCTGAAGTACATTTTATGGTTTATGAAATAGAATTGATTAATCTGAAGTACATTTTTCGGTTTCTGAAGTACAACTGACAAATCTGAAGTACATTTTAGAGCTTCTGAAGTACAATTGACTAATCTGAAGTATATTTTACTGTTTCTGAAGTACAATGGACTAGTCTGAAGTATACTTTACGGTTTATGAAGAACAATTGACTAATCTGAAGTACATTTTACGATATCCGAAGTACATTTGGAAAAGGTGTTGTCTGGAGTATATTTTATGGTTTATGAACTAAAATTGACTAGTTTGAAATATATTTTACGATTTCTGAACTACAGTTGACTAAACTGAAGTACATTTTACGATATCCGAAGAACAGTTGGAAAAGGTGTAGTCTCAGGGTACGATCATGTTCTTCAACACTTTTTGCGGCAATTAATATATCGTCAATGAATACGATCATATATTGGACTGTCTTCGAAGTTTCTCTCGTGGTATTTTTGAAAGACCTCAGGACCTATTTTGATAACAAATGGCAAAGGCTTGAAACGGTAGAACCCGAACGGTGTATTGAAAGAACAGAGCTCACTAGCTTTTGCACTAAGGTCTATTTGCCGAAATGCTTCCTTCAAATCTAGCATAGTGAATATTTTACTATTAGCTGTACGTACCGATATTGATTCAAGAGATGGAATCGTATGGTTCTGCGATAATATACATGCATTTAACTTTCGCGGGTCGATAGGTCAGCACCGGTACCTAACTTAAAAATTGTGAGGCCGTCATTTACTCTATTTTTTCATACCATCTTTTCTGGCCCGCTGTTAAATATTGTGCAAAACCATATCATCATTTTCTCTTTTTTCGCCATTTTCTCTTATTTTATGAACTTGTGAGCTGTAACAAGCAACGCTAAAATTATTTGAACGTCCGCAGTTGTTGCATTTTTTGCCGAATGCAGGGAATTTGCGAAATTCGTGAACGCCTCTACAAAATTTACAATTAGAATTTTGTCGCATTTTATGCTTTATGTTCCAGTTGCGAGGAGCGCGAGAAATATAAAACTAGCGTTTTTTGCTGTTTACACGCGTACAATAGTAAGACGGGCACAAAACCGTACTCCACACTTTACGCTATTTTTATTTCCAATAATGCGTTTAGTTAAGGTTAATTTGATTATAAATATGCAAAACATTTATATCTACATTAGTTTTCGCTCCCTCTCAATTGCTGGTCAGGTTTTAAAATGACAAAAGTACAACATAAAATTAGGGATGACAAAGTATTAGGGACGATACTAGTTTTCGTCTTTTCGTCGTACAAAGCAGATGCACGTTCATACCAAGGCGAATTTATATAAGGTGATAGCGGGAGTACAAAAACAAAAACTTGCATTTTGTTTTTGCTTTGGCGGCATAAACTGTCAAAATCTGTAAGAGTGTGTGTGGAAATTCAAACAAAATTTTTCAATTTGACATAAGAAGCCGTGATGCGAAACACATACACAAAATCAGCTGATCTAGTAACACCACCTTATATAAATTCGCCTTGGTACATACGAAATAGAAAAGTTTATATTTTCATCTGACATACAGATAGAATCATATGTGTTTGTTTTACTTCGTTTTCAAAGAACGTGATTTTGAAGTTAGTTAAATACTGTGAATTTTACAGACAGATGCAACTACATATGTATCGAAACAGTCACATTTATAGATGGAAATACATATTCTGTCTTATCCTGAGTTTCACCTGAAAAAAAAATTCACCCGAAGATTTGTCATCCGCCCATAGTAAAACCATGGAAACCTAAAGTGAAAAGTGAACCTGTTCGGGGAAAATGAAACTCATGATAAGGCTGATTGTGTAAGAACACATTTACCGATACATATTTTGTGAAACTTGTTTGTATATAGTTACTAATTGAATTAACTGCTGTGTATTTGTTCTGTTGTTGCATTTCGTCTGCGTACTCTCCTTAGCAGCACGGGCGATATAGATGCGTGCGTTAAGAAATATGCCAATTTTCTGTATTTCTTTCCTTTCTTCATCTATTGCTATGGCGTATATATCAAAATTTCGCCATTGCTCGGACACATTCCCTTCAAATTCCCACAGTGCCACCTAATTGGACAAAAATCGAAATATTCGTTGTCTGCAATGTGAACGTGTTTGGTATTTTTGTAAAGCTAATTTATCCACTAAAAAGGTTTAAACAGAAATTTTCCTTTAAAATAAATTATATGCCACCAGGAAGCCACTAAAATCGACACATTTGATACTAAGAATTTTAATAAGAGCATAGCCATGCGTAAGCTCTTCACGAAAACAAACGTCAAAAATACATTCTTTGAAATAAAATGTTGGTTTGACGTTTTTTATTTCCATATAGATACATAGTAGAGAACTACACGAATAAAAATTTTGGAATAAAATTAAACACTTGGTACCAAACTCCATGTCAAACGCCCTGAGGATGGTTAGCGAAGCGTAATCGAAATATATCGGAAACATACATCAAAAAACTTGTTTTTTTTCATAAATTTTTAAAATTGACCTCGAGCAGGGAAAATACTAAATTACAAGTAGAAAGGTCGCAAAAACCATCAGTATAAAATAATAATACATAATCAGTGATGCCTTTTGATTACATTCCTTTTAACCTGCGGGTTTTTTAAATTACTCAGGAATGTTTTTACTCTTCACTTATTTTTTGCTAAATATGTCCAATTTTCTTTTTGTCTGATACCCATAGTGATACACATATGTATGGGCGGATCCGCAAAAAATTCATGCAATTCGAATCCTCTCATTTTTGTCTAAAAAAAGGCATAGTACAACATATTCTTATTTCATATTTCTTTTCACATTTATTTGAGATATCTGAGAGGGGCACTTACTTCTTGAAACAAAGCTCGGGTGGGGTTTAGTAGCGCTCACAACTATTTCGGGCTATTCCGTCCACAGGGGTGGCCCGATCCAAAAAAAATTCCACACACTTGTAGTCAAGGCTCTACGCATTATTTTAACACTCACTTTTGTAAATTTTGGTCACTAATTTATTTACAAATTTGGTTTGAAATATGCCCTTTTTGTAAAATTCGGAAATTAGCGTACATTTATCACTCCTATTCTCCTTAAAACAGTCACTTCACCAATACATTTTTGTATTCCCCTTCACTTTACACCTTACTCGATTAGTTATAACTTGCTTTACGACTTTAATATTAACCAATTAATCACAATTCATTAAATAAAAAACACCTTCAAAATCATGCGTCTGACTTTGGTTGCATAGGCAAATTAAATGGCGGAGTTCAGCTGTCAAACTCCAAAATATGGAAAAGAATGAGAGACAAAAGAAGATGGGATATAACCCAGTAAGCATTAAAAATGTAAAAAGGTGTTCTCTGCGAAAGGTGTTCAGCTCCTTTTCTTCGCAAAACAGAAAGGAGAATTCTACTGCCTGAGGATTATAATCCCTAAGTGCGGCCGAAGGCCGCCTACGCAGAAAGGTGTTCTCTGCAAAAGGTGTTCAGCCTCCCTTCCTTGGCAACACAGAAAGGATAATTCTACTGCCTGAGGGTTATAATT